AGGAGCCTCTGAAAAAGTATCAGTGGGACTGCTGTCCTGCCCTTGAACGTATTCAAGCAGGCTAGCACCGACCGCGCACGTTCCTCTGTGAGGCGCGCTGTCTGTTCAACCGAATCCAACTCCATACCGAGAAAAAAGATCCTCTGCATCGGGCTCTTTTTCCCAGTTGACCCGAAGGCCCAACAGGTTGAGGTGCCGAAGCGCCAGGTCCCTGTGCTCGCACAACTAATCCTGAGACTGTGCTAGTATAAGCCAATCGTCTAGATAGTTGAGAACGCGAACACCCTGCTCTCTGAGGGGGAACAAGAGCTGCCTCCGCGACCTTAGTAAAGACACGGGGAGACAGAAACAGCCCGAAGGGCAGGACCTTGTACTGATATGCCCGTCCTTCGAACGCAAACCGCAGAAATGGTCTGTGGCGTGGAAGGATCGACACATGAAAGTACGCGTCCTTCATGTCGATCGCTGCAAACCAATCTTGGGCACGGACGCACCCAAAGATGCGTTTCTGTGTCAACATCTTGAACGGTAGCTGATGAAGGGCCCGGTTCAAAACTCACAGGTCCAAGATTGGCCGTAACCCACCGCCTTTCTTGGGTACAATGAAGTAAGGGCTGTAAAACCCCGACCTCATATCGGCTGGAGGGACCGGCTCTATCGCATCCTTCGCCAGTAGGACTGCGATCTCTGCCCGTAGAACAAGGGCATCGGCCGCCTTCACTGTAGTGAAGCGGATACCGCTGAACTTGGGCGTGCTGAATCACATAGCCGAGGCTGATGGTTCACAGAAGCCAGCGAGACGGGCTGGGTAGCGCTGACCAAGCGCCCAGAAACCGTACAAGCGGGACCAGTGGGACCACAGCCGTACCCGCAGTGGGGCAGCGAGGTGGAACACAGGGACCCAGCTCGGGTGGCTTGTGAGCGGGCCGGAGAGGGTGTGTGTGTGGGGTGCAAGGCTCACCTGGTTCCACGGGTATTGAGGAACCGAACCTTGTCGGTGTCTCTCATGTCTGCCAGACACAGCCAGAGATGGCGCTCCTGGACCACAAGCGTGGACATCGCACGACCCAGGGAACTCGTGGTGACCTTCGTCACTCGGAGAGCGAGGTCAGTGGCGGTTCAGAGCTCTTTCAGAACTTCCGGATCATGACCACCCTCGTGCAGGTCCTTCAGTGCCTTAGCCTGGTGCACCTGCAGTAACGCCGTGGTGTGTAAGGCGGAAGCAGCTTCCCCGCAAGCCGTATAGGCACTGCCAGTTAGACCAGACGAATGCCTACAGGCCCGGGAAGGAAGTACCGGGTCTCCCCGCCAGGAGGAGGCGGACTTAGGACACAATTGCATCGCTACCGCCCGCTCCACCGGGGGGATCGCCGAATACCCCTTCGCTGCACCGCCGTCGAGGGTGGTGAGGGAGGAGGAGCCTGCCGGCCGGTTTCTGGCAGTAAAAGGTGCCGTCCACGACCTGGTGAGCTCCTCATGCACCTCCGGGAAGAAAGGCACCAGGGGGGGGGGCGCTGAGAACCAGCACGAGCCACCCCGAGAAACCAATCATCCAGCCTTGACGGCTCGGGATGCGGTGGAGGTTTCGACTCGAGCCCGACACTTTCGGCGGCCCGGGAAAGCATAGCTGTCATCTCCGGATCCGATTCAGGCTTTGAATCCCGGAGGGCGGCAGTGCGGCCGAATCCTCATCCGACAGCTCTCCCTCCGATGCTGAGATCGACATCTGGTCGGGGGGAGGTCCACTGGATACCGCTGGTACGCTCTTTAAAGGGGGCCCAGCGCGTTCCGTGGGTCGCTCCACTGGATCGGAGGAGCAAGAGGAGTGATGGTCCCCAGAGGGTTGGTTCCCTGCGGGGTTTGCCATCACTGTAACCCTCAAACCGCCCGCGCTACTGATGGAAGTGGTTCTCATCTGCCTTCCGCCAGAACGAGCCCCGGATCGTGGCAGCGGCAACGGGACTCCGCCCCCTTGAGAGTAGCGGAGCCTGGTTCGCAGCTCCAAGATGGTCATCTTCCCGCAATGAGAACATGACTCATCCACGAAGGCCACCTCAGCGTGCTTAATGCCCAGACACGTGAGGCAGCGATCGTGACCATCACCCGGTGCCAGGCAACGACCGCACCCAGAAACGCACGGGTGAAACGCCATCCTTGTAAGGACGATCCGTCGTCTTTATAAAGACGCACCCGTGTAACTCTTTTAGATAAATTTGCTCTTTTTAGGAAATGCTCTTTTAGTGCTGAGGCGCACAGGGGAGATGGCCGCTTTGCAACACGACAGGGGGTAGTGCAGCCTGAAGAGCAGAACGATGTTGTCTCTCGGCTCCGAAGCGAAAAGCTGGTATGCATTGCACCTGCTGCCTTATTATACTCACGCTGTGATCAGCGGCAGCTGGATGCAATAATTGCATGCCAATGTGTATTGGCTCATTTAGTTTACACTCGAAGTAGATTGGTCTATCGAAGCGATATCCCAATTCGTCGGTCACGACGTGACTCGTAGTGACCGACTGAAAGGGAACAACCATATTTAAAGGTAATTGGGAAATAAAAGCCTGCTATTATTAACTATTAAACTTCCTATTTTTTCCCTTCATATCTTCCTTCCCAGAACACCCAGCCATATTCAACATTTTAGCTCTGAGGACCACCAAAGCTGGCTCGCCAGAAGCTCAGTGGCGTCCTTCTCCTCATCAAGGTTGGCGATTCGATTTTTTTTTTAAACATCTTGAGCCATGTGATTAGACTTGCACATTTTAATCACTGCTCATCAAAATCATTACACTCTCAAGCGTAATTATTGCTGAGTCAGTGTTTGTGTTTGTGAGCGTGTTTATGTGTTGCGGATGATTAAAAAGCCACAAATATATTCCTCCTCCAGTGCCTATACTCCCGTCAGCATAATTTATAAGCGTGTGCACACATGAACATAATGAAAAATGTGAACGTGGCGCAGTAATTACCGAATACAAACCGATGAAGTAACAGATGCACAAGCAAACCGTCTTTGTCGTGTGCAGTCACACACTCCAAAACCTACTGTGCCATTGTCCTAATGCAGCATAATTGCGTGCATGCAAGCACGCAGTCACACACACCCAGGGACAGGCTCAAATTAATGAGCATTCATACACACACACGGCGAAAAGGGCTCAAGCGTGACCGTGTAGTCTATAATACGTGCATAATGCAGAAATCATTATTTTGCCTTGTCGTTTGCTTCCATTGTCTCCCATTTTGTAAGCTCCTAGACATGGTGAGGATTTGGTTGCAATGTATGTTTGTGGGTTCCCCGACATTATCCCAGGGTGTATTTGTTTAAGTGTGTGTAGGTGTGCACGTCCTGTTTGAGTAGTGTGTGACCTCCTAGCCTGGAGTGTCTGATCTGCCCCACTGGAGAGTTGGAATCTATTTGAGTCCAGCGCTGGCTTTCTATAAACACCTTTGACCATCTTGCTGGCTCGGTCACCTTCATCCCCCATCCCGACCCCACCAGTTCTTTCAAGGCAATCTAGGCACGTTTGTCTATGATCAGAGCAAACAAAAAGAAAGCTAAATGCTAAAACCATCACTTGCAGTATTTTTTTTTTTGTTCTGAAAACTACGGTTTAAGCACTCACACTTACACACACAAGCTTGTTTACTCACAAACGCTGCCGTGGCATCCATTCTCGTTTTTTCAAATTGGCATGTGAGTAAGAAAAAGCCAAAGCGTGTGCCTGACACCCTTTTTTCTCTTTTTTTCTTTATGTCTTACAGAGAGGGACCCCTCCTTGCCTGTAGCTCCAGACAAGGCAGGCCTCTTTTGAGGAAGGCACTCAGTGAGAGAGGCTAAGAGACACCCTCACCCTCGCCCTACATAGACCTACTTTTACCTGTTCCTAATGGCTATATCATTCAGTTCCTTAAAATACAACCAAGATCACTGTGTAAACAAAAAGACAAGGTTTACATCTTCCCCCAGTTTATGTATCTTCCCTGCCTCATTTGAGAAGAGAGATGGACTCAACCTGTAGCTATTGCACAGCTGTGAGCCTTTTTCTTCAGGCTGGATAAATCACCTCAGGACTGGCCCCTAAATCTAGCTGGTCTCGAACGTCAGAGGCCAGAACAATTTCCGTGGATAAGAATCCTGATCTTATTAATATTCATAGGTATCTATACATACATTTAGATAGATGGTGAAGTGTACAACATGGACATATTGACGGTATCTAAAATCTATTTACTTATGCAGAGATTTAGAAACATAAATATGTGATTCCTTTATATTATATTTATATTATACATATATAACATTTTACAGTTGTAGACATTTTTGAGCCCATAACCCCACAATTAACCACTTTTCTACTGTGTAAAAAAGTAATAGGCGGATAAATGTACAATGACAATCATTTTAATTCCAATTTACCATACTATTATATTGATATTTTTAAGTCTTATTTTTCATGAAGCAACTGGTTAAAAGACATGCAAGACCAAACATTGTAACGCTTAAAAATTTCAGTGATACAAAGTCACAGTGGATGGGGCCAATTGTCTATGAGTTAAATAGAGGCCTTTTTCTCACACAAACCTATCATATGGTTCATGGTGTCTTTAATGTATTGTATAAATAGAATGGATTACATCTATTATTGTATGGTGCATTTGTCATTCTTTGGTGAAATACTTTGTTGAGATAAATGCATTAAATACCATAAATGTGATGGCATTGAACATGTTTCGTAAATCTCATCGGTGAAATACAATTTGATCAACCTAATAATTCCATTAATTCAATATTATATTAAGCTAAAAGGGTTCAGAAACGTTTTATATATCTCTAAGGTTGTTTATATGTGACATGCATACAATTTAGATGCTGTCAATATGTTAATATTGTACATTCATGTCCTAGAACTACACTTTAATGAGATCACATTGGGATAAGGGGTGTGAGTACTCAAATCCAACCAATTTGTCCAGATATTTTTTCCTGCATGTTCCACAAATATACACTTTTACATGGAAACAGCATGTTTAGTTCTCAGAAAATGTAATGGCTTGCTGTTTCCTCAAGTATTTCTTTGAAACACATGTTCTTAACAGGATGCTTTTTTACAAGATACCTGTGCTGTTTAAAGAATCCCATCTGTGTGGATTTTCAGAGCAAAAGTAATCTGCCAAGTGATGGTTTAAGATTAAATCACATGATGATTAAGTCAGTTTGTCCCAAGAGTCCTGTTAAACCCAGAGCCTTGACTGTATCTGTATCCCTTTCAGCTGTCAATGTCACATTAAATTAATTCTAACACATTCATGCTGTCTGGAGTCTTGCTGTATGCTAAGTCACATTCAACAGCTGCATAGTCTAAACCAGATTACATTTTTAGCACATGGAGCATGCACAACAAAATTGAGATATCATTTGAGAATTAAAATGCAAATGGTGTACAACAAATGTCTTGTTATGTGACTTTTAACCCTGGATCCAGCCAATCAACAGAAGCAGTAGCAGACAGTAGATGACACCTGAGCAGAGATGGAGTAAATATGGCAGCATTTACATATAGAGTCCAATACAACAAACCACACTGGGAGCGACAGATCCATACATACTAGCAGACAGCTGAAGACAAATTACATCAGGGTCACTATACTGCTTCTTGCGTAGTATGTGGGGATTGGAAGTATGCACAGCATGCACAAGTGCTTATTTGGAGAGGAAAGACTAGGAACATTTGGCTTGCGACAAACTAAATGCTTAGCAAAAAAAAAAAAATCTGACACAGAACTGTCAGTTAACATTTTAACATGTATATAAAATAAGCATTTAAGTCCAGCAAATCTGATTATTTTAAACAAAGAGATTTTTGCATCTTTTGTCAAAGAAGCAGCTGTTTTCCCTTTGTCTCATGTTAGTATTGGTGCAGTGCCACAGTAGTGCAGTATATTACCGATGTTAGCCAGGGTGCTGTGTTTGTCTGCCATTGGCTGGCTAACCTCTTTTGATTGGCATGAACTGGTCCCTTTCCAGAGGGGATCCATTATGATGGACAGCTCCTCCTCCTCTGCCGTGCCTTGCCCAGGTTGATGGGAGCATGTGGAGCGTAACTCTGCCGCATGATAGCTGTCTCTCTGTCGGGTTATAGGGGGCCCCAAGGGGTGCTTCTAATTTCTGTCCCCAGTCACTCTCTCTGTCTCTGTCTATGTCTCTCTCTCAATCTGTAGCTCACACCTGGCTGCCTTCCTTCACATCTAGATGGGGAAATGTCAGCATATGCTTTATGCGCTGAGGGCGAAGCCACAGGCTTGAGCATTTAATTAGCTTCATTGCACTACTGACATCACAACTTTATTATAAAAACGCCACCTAGCTCTGAGTGGGATAGACTGATTGATGGATTAATGATTGGGTGATTTTGGAAATATTATATGTGAAATAATCATTCCAGTAAAGTTCTTCTTTAGACAGACAGAGAGATACATAGAAAAACAGGCATATCTGTCTAGCTATAGATAGATAGATAGATAGATAGATAGATAGATAGATAGATAGATAGATAGATAGATAGATAGATAGATAGATAGATAGATAGATTTATCTATCTATATCTCTGTTTGTCTGTCTATCGTTCTACCTACTCATCTAGAGACAGAGATCTACCTATCTGTCTATCTAGACAGACAGACAGACAGACAGAAGATACAGTAGATATGCGAACAGTTAAATGGATGGCATAATAACTCAGCAGTGGTGTCATAATATATGTGGCGTGTTTGAGATTGACATTAAACATTCATTGTGTGAGGACTGCTATGTCCGTTCAGTGACAAGCTTTCTGGAAGCACATCAAAAGACGATTTGCGCTGACATAAGATTGGCTAATCGTTACTGACTGTGGCTGTTATCGTGCATTTCCTCCAGTCTGAGGAGAGAGAAGACAAATCGTTAATAACGGTCTGAGTGAAGCACAATGTAACATTGAGAGCAAGACACACTCACCAGACAGACTAAATACACAAAGAGAGAAAACGAGGGATAGAGAAACAAAGAGGAAGAAAAGAATCGTATTTCCCTCTTGGCAATGCTACTGAGCTCTTTTCACTGTGCAGTGTAAACAGGGAACATACAGAGATTGAAGATGGCAGATGGGCAACTGAACACATAGACATTGACTCACACTGTGCCAATCGCTCCATTACCAGTATAGATGTGTTATAGTAGACAAATTACAATCATTTATAAACAGACAATAGCTCCACAACTCAAAGGAGATTTCTTTGCTGATTTGAAAATATAGAATCTGGGAATCGTTCTTCACAAGCATTTCACCTTTGTTCTAAGCATGCATGTGTGTTTTCTCTCCCTTTTTGTCTGTTTTCAGATTCATCCCCGGACCTAACAAAGAGCTCTTTCACAGGCAGTGAATGTGGATTCTTTCTGTCAGAATGGACGAAACCATTCATTCAAAGGGGTGTTTGACTGGATTACCTGTGACTGAACAATAAAAAAGGACATTCTCGGGGATAAAGATGAGATTTGCTCGTTCAGTGCCAAGGAATATGACAAATAGAAATAAAGCAGGCTAATCTGTGTTTTTGATCAATGAGCCCAACGCTGCAGACTCGACCGTGTCCAATTCTCTTGATTTTTTTCTGCGTTTCTCCTGACCACCTTCCTCTGGTTCTAAACTCATACAGCTTAGGGGAGCCTATTTGAAGACTTTGCCTCCCTAGGTAAACTGGACAATCCTGATTTAAGCTGTGAATGACTGTATGAAGGCTCATGATGGATAAGCAATGGTCTGTGAAAATGAGGTGGAAATCAATAGGAGATTTTTTTTTTCCATCCCAGCATCAGTTTGTCGTTCCACGTCGGCTTTGGTAACAGACTAGGAGCTTGTGAAGCCCTGCTATTTCCCTTTCACTTCTGAGTTTACCGCTCACCGCTAGTGTCCCACATGCTGTCCGTTTGGAATTCCCCCAAGTCAAAGGTCACCTCACTGTCTACTTGGGCCAGATATCTTTTTATTTGTCAGCATGCTCAATGTATTTTGTGGGAGCTTTGTATTGAAAGTAACTGTATATATTTCTGTATATATACATATAGATACATATTAAAAGACATCATATGAAGATCTATCATGCCCTAAAACCTGTTCAGTGGGTTTGAATTAAGACTTTATTCATAGTTTTGGTTCCTTGAACAAGAAGTACAATTAATCCCTAATTTAAGGCTGTCTGTGAAAATACATATTCTTTTGATGTAATGGAAATCTGGCATATTTTACTTGAATGAGAATCTTTTCCACTGGATCCATTATGAAAAAAATAGGAAAATTCACTAAACAGTTGCAACATTTTTGTACACAATATTTCAGCGCAAACCAATTTTTTTAGTGCTAAAATATTCCTGAGCTGTAAGTATTTAAGTCATTGCCATTTATTTCAAACAAGTTTCCATGCAAATTAGGCTTAGTATTGATTGATTCACAAAACTGTACTGCTACTCTAGTGCTACTACCACCGTTGGAAATCAGATAGCAAATGACTTTATGTACATTTTCTACTGATCACAGCAAAAGTAATTCAACACGTAATGAGCAAATACTGGCGAAGAGCAGATGTGTGGAGTAGTCAACTACACTTGGTGCTGTACTGTCCCAGTAAAGTACGTCAAATTTTGGTAGTGTATCCAAAGTATCCTCCACAAACTACTGTAGTACACAGAAGCAACCAGCAAGTTTGAGAACTGTGCCATGCACAGAATTTGCTGGTGCTTTTGTTTTGTTATCCGATTTGCATAATTCTGAATCGGTCGCTTCAACACAGCAAACAATGTAATTATTTGCCTCTGTCGTTGGACGCAACTCATTCTTAGTAATTTCGCAGGGATATCAGTCTATCAGTCCAACAAAAGAGGCCACAATCACCTATATATACCTATAGCCAGTTCAGTCCATGATTAAGTTTGTTCTATGCTGTTCTGAGAATAGATAGGCTTCATCATGCTTGTGTAGGTTTCATAAATACAAGACATTCATTTTGTTAAATGTGATAACCATAATAAGCAAACACTGGATCTGTGTCACTGGACAGAAACCTGACACAGTTCAGAAAAATGAAGCCCTAGTTTGATAGGGTCAGTGTCGTAGGGAAGATGAGATCTCATTTTCAAGAGATTCATTTTCTGTGTAATAAAGTTTCAAAGGGTTGTCAAAAAGCGGGCTTCATTTCTCTTTACTGGCATCAGTAGACATGCAACTACAGTAGCTCTGGTAGATAAACATGCAGCCTTATCAGAATTAAATCAATATTAAAATGGTTTTCTATACACTGTGTCTACTTTTATTTCTCTGTTAGTAATGCTGTTCTCTGATTAGCATGTTTTATCCATAATTAATTACACACGTTGTTGCTGCTGACATTTTATGTCATCCATGGATGTGGGGAACATTGATGTTTTAAACAGATTTCTAGAATTCAGACCATTTTTTGGTCTGCTAAAATAATTATAGAAATCAAAACAGTCCAAAAACAAAGCCACAGCAGGACAGTTACACGTCTCCAGGCAACACACAGTAGTGTTGTTCCTGAATGAATCAGTGGTTTTGAATGCATTACTTGAGTGAATCATTAAATGACGCACTCATAAAACAGTTGCTTGTATCATTCCTGAATTAATCAGGGTTTTGAATGAATCCTTTGAATGAATTATTCAGAGTCTCACCTATGAATACAGTAACTTGTTTTGTTCCTGAATGAATCAATGTTTTCGAACAAATTGGTTGCTGCCACCTACTGGCATAACAATGTAACCTGCAGAAAGAATCACTGAAAAATCATCACCAGAATGACTGTCTGAAATCAGATTGGAGAATCAGAACGAACTGTTGTAGAATCATGTCTTGCAAAGTTTTCCTCTCAAAGAGGAAAGCTGGTCTCCAATATTTTCTCCCTTATTTTTGCAAATAGGGTAGAAAAATATGGAAGAAGAACATGTCTTCAACAATGAAACAGTACACAGAAATTCTAGTTTGATTTGTGAATATATACAGGAAAAAATACAGGAAAAAGTTTGCTTTTGTTTGCTTCCTCTCCTCAACAAGCACCATATTATTAATCATTTTATATATATATATATAGAGAGAGAGAGAGAGAGAGAGAGAGAGAGAGAGATATAGATATAGATATAGATATATATATAAAATCTCTGCGTTTTTGTTTCAAGTCATTTTTTCTATCAGCGAAGTCACAGAGGGCTAGAGACTGACAGCTACATCGATCTCCCAGCAGTTTTCCCAGAATGCTAAGCAGGGAATTACAAACAAAAAGCTGTGTTTTCTCTTCTTCAATGAGGCATTCCCACATTTTGTTGTTGTTTTTCTATCTAAAAGGATACAGAGCAGCTCAAAGCCTCAGTGTGCATTTAATGCGTTATAGGAACCAGGACCTCAACAGCAGACCTTTCATGAGAAAAAGACGCTGCCGCTGAGATTATTGTGGGGGGGAAAGTATGTAAATGGGAATCAAGTGATTTTTTCGTTGTGTATTCGAGGTTTTAATGTGGATGGGTCGTAAAAGGTGCTTTGGGATGGATGCTTAACGAAGAACTCAGTTCTCTTGCGTGCATCTGCTTTTTCTGAGTAAGAATGCTGGTGTCTTGCTGTGAAGAGAGCCCTGCTTCTTTTTAGAGCAAGAATTGCCTTTGCATAGAGAACCGAATGCATTTACCGTCTTCCTATTCTTTGTTGTTTTGCTGAGGAAACTTCAGTCGAGTTCTAGGAAGAGGCTTCTGCTCTTGGCTTTATTTATAACCATTGTATGATTATTTGAATGGGAAAGTTATTGTACATTACAACATTACAGGACATGTTTACAATGACTGCAATAATGAATGCTATTGACAATACTCTGAAAAGTAAATGTCAACAGCATTTTCATATACCTTAATTCAAATATAGTCATGTTTGGAATAAGCCTAATTGAATTAAAGAAATAGTTGACCCAAAAACTACAATTCTATCATTGCTTACTCACCCTTTGTGATGTTCCAAACCCAAATGGCTCACTTTTTTATTCTTTTTTTTTTTTTGCAGTGTAGAAGGTAAGATATTTTGTCAACATTAGCTAGTATTATGACAAAACTTCTTGTTTTTTCAGCATTTTAATTAAGTTATATTATAATATTTTATTAATTGTATTGATAGTAACATATTCCTTTATAAATTGGTTGTCTTCAATGTCATTGCTTTCTAAGACTCACAAAAGAGTCACTCTCACAATAACCGATGATGATGTATAGTTTCGCACTGAATCACTAAATTGGTCATAAATATGAAAAACACTAAGGTCTGAAAAATGAGTAACTATGAAAAAAAATAGGTTGCATATTGTTTTGACAAGTTAAATAAATAAAGGCTTTATTGAAGTCTTTTTGATCAAAAGACAAGCCTCATCGATGGTAGAGCCTTTTTCATCACAATATTTATTCTCATCCATTCCCTACAATCTTCATTGGATCTTCTTGATGTTTCTCTGGCCCTTGATGTGTTTAATACACATACAAAAACTCTTTCTTAGCTAATTCTCTTGTTTATTCATACACTTGTTTATTTTGCCTGAACATTGATTTATGTAGTCTTTTTCCAAATCAAGAATTAATATGGAATATTTAATCAACACCTAGAAGCTAAATGTTACATTTGAGAATAGCCTACAAAAATATGATTCAAATATGATTTTAGTATTTTGAAAGTATCATTTTAATAATTTAGTATTAATATAATTTTTGTATTATGAAATATTTTGAAAATGCTGCAAATGCAAAGTGCTATATAGATATACGTGTACATATAACTGTACTGATTCATTGATAGAAATGAAAATGGCTTCTTGCAGGTGGACAGTCTCGGTGGACAATTGTAGTGCTGTGCATGCAGATATCTGTAGCAGGTGCCCAGCAAACAAAGGAGCCAAACCCTTCAAGCGTGTCAGTTTTAATACAAACTATATGCTGAAGATGAATCAGCAAATTTCGGTATGTGTAAAGTGATGAACATGTCCAAAACCCTGCTCTACAGCACCGTACAATCCCACTATGCAAGATCAGAAGATCAATAAAATGCAGGTCAACACTGCACTCCTGACAGCAGGCCAAAGACTTCATTACAGCAAGTAAAGAAACTCCAGGCTTCAAGCACAACTCCGTTTACTTGTTGATTCTTTTACTGGCCCTTTTTCCACCCATTTTGCTCAGCTATTCAATTCAATGGTAGAAAGTGCTCATGCTCTAGGCAATGGGCAATTGATCCCCATTCTATGAAGAGAGGCTTTCTCGTCAAACTGCACTGACTGACCCATTTACAGTAAATGCTGTTTCCTGTAGTAAGCTGTAATTTTACAGTTTATTTTCACTGCATTTGTAACTGCAAACTAATAAATGTTCTGTAGAAATGTCATTCGTAATGTTTAATGAGTGTTTTTGTTGTATTTGTGAGTGTGAGAAACTCAGTAACACGCTAGTGTGAACACAAGGAAAGGTTCATTCACCGGGGGTGATTGCTGGATCAAGGATGTTCCTTTAATCATAACTAAATAGCACAGTGTGTTTCTAAATTTAGCTTCAGATTCACAATGAACTGGTTTGAAGGACACTCTCAAGCTCTGGAGAGATAAATCAGGGTCAGCGGTTTGTTTTGATAACAGCTCTGGGATTTTCACTGTTCATATCACTCTGCTTGTCTGTGTCTTTGAATTTCAGACAGACTGTTAGTCTGTGCATTAGCGGTGGGGATTTTTCAATGACTCTTTCTCAAGGTTACCTCGATACTCCAGTAGGTGGCGACATGTGATTGTCCTTATGAGTGAATCACTGACTCATTCATTCTAGTGATCAGAGAACGCTGATTCGATCAAGAACAGAACACCACCTGCTGTGGCTTTCCTCTGCAGAGCGGAAACAGACAAGGTAACCGGCAAATTTGTATCTAAAATGTGAATTACTTGATATTAACTTGTGGAACTGTTGTAGCCTAAGCAATAGAGCTTAGACAGGGTAGTGCCAAATTTACTTTTTGAAATGAATGAAAATAAGACTGTGAGGGATAGAAGTAGGCTACAGTGTGTTCAGTGGATTGTGC